CTAAAAGTAGCACCTTGTACGGATGCCCGTACGGTCACGAGTCCAATTTTTTCGGCTTGATGGGTTACTACTATCATTTTGTATAATTATGGGGCTACGCTCTGCGAGCTCTGCTAATAAACAATAACAGATTTATCGTGAATGCTTCATTCAATAGTTGTTCCAAAATGATACTTTAGTATCTGATCAGGTATCTCATCGTCAATCGAGTGTGTTTTCTTTCAAAAACGCGCGCAATTTCCCAGCCAACTAACTTGAATAGGTTGAGGTACCTTTAACGGAAAGAAGGAAGCTAAATTTGAAAGCTCGCCGGGCTCATTACACAGACTCGTGAAATGCACAAGAGAACTGCTCAAAACAATAATTGACAATGCTTCTTTCTATTAGAAATAAATAGTAACATATCTAAATAGAAGCTAAATGGTTTTGAAGATAAAAACAATGTTACTTGGGATCGTTTTTCGAACCAATCAGATTACAAGATTTTTAATGAATATTGCCCACTCACGCTTTGTCATCAAAATAACATAGTGGCTGTCGATGAACGCTCCTGAGAACAAAGGAGACTATTCGAAATTAGGGAGGAAACGTAAATGACACGATGAAGCAAGAAGAGACAAACTTTGGCAAAGAGGACTATAACTGAAATAGAGAGAAACGTACCCGGAGTATTGAAAACTAGCTAGCCTGAAGAGCAGCCGTAATTTTTGCGGAAAAGTGCTCACTGTTGTCTTGCTATCTTTGTTTTTTACGGCAGTAAAATGCCAGGGAGAGAAAAAAATTTATAATCAAGTGTGTGAGTGACGGTCAAAAGAAGGAGTAGGGAGGGATTCCCGCCCCTTCCCCGAACCGTCCACTCGAGCTCCAAATAAAACATGGCCGGTCGAATAAACAATCGCGAGCTATTCGCTCTAATAAGACGTCTGTGCTTAGTAATTTCTTCCGCCTGTACAATCGTCAAGCTTCCATTACTGAGAACTCGTAAGAACCCACCAATTAGCGAGCTAACACAAGGTATCATCATGGTTAGTCTTTGGACAGCGCTGCTTGAACTTACTGCGGAAACTATCGGTCTTAACACAAATACAATAAGGCCTTTTTGTGATAAACCAACAAGGTTGATCTTAACGATTAAGAAAAATGATATAGTTCGTGTGTCCTTTTACAGAACGCCATGCAGTGAAAGCGCCTAGTTCTTCAAGAGAAGAATTCATCATGTAGCTGCCCTAAAGCGCCAATTTCAGATAAAGTCAAATCTATATAATTCATATATATCATTGTAAGTATATACAAACGCCCGAAAAAAAAAAATGGGGGGAAAGGCCCGCACTTAAATATGCGGTTCTCAGACCTTATCGATTAAAACATTTACAAAGTTCCTCTGTCTCGTTGCTCAACATCATTTAGTGAAATAAAGCATCAACAATATATCGCTCACACAAAATCAGATGGCAATTTGCGTTTGATTCTCAAAAGTGAATGAACGAACACTTTGCTTTTGCAAAAAAAAGGAGTCTTCACATTTTGAACAATAAGGGACGCTAGGATTTAAAGAGAAGAAAAATACGCAGACACCTAGTTGTGTTGATAATCAGTACTGGTCGGTCTAAGCCACACCCCCCCCC